ATCTCTTGACCTCGTGATCCACCGGCCTCGGCCTCCCACAGTGCTGGGATTACAGGCTTGAGCCACCGCGCCCGGCTTTTAGTGTATTTTTTAATCTAGCTTTAGCTTCTTAGGTAACTCTTACAAAACTAGATCATAAAAACTCTTCTCTTTAAAATATAAATAAGATTTAGACACAAATAAGATGCTAAAACAAGAAATACTGACATGCATAAATACCATCAAAATAGGTAAATGTTTAAATAAAAGGTGCTAAAATAAATTTCCTTAAGAAAAAGAATACCATAGAACAGCACTCCTTCCTTCAGTTTATAAATAACCTATTTTGGATCCGAATGTATGCAAGATCCAAGAATTATATTTAGCTGCTGATTTCAATGTATTTTCAATATGGCACTACTGAATCCAGAAGCAGTATGAAAAAAGAGAGACAGCAAGAGAGCAAACTGCTCTCCATTTATTGTACATGAGTAAAAATAGTTGACTTCATTCTTACTGCTTACAGGTTTTGTAGTTCAAGAGGAAGTTATGAAGCAGCATGCCCATGGATTTTCGTAAAAGCTGGGAAAAGAAACATCAGTTGTCATTCAACGCTTAAGTATCTGTCCAGCCAATTACGAATTGAGGCGGATTCTAAAATTTTTAGTATACTCAGATCTTTAACCTGTCACAAAGGCAATGCCAACTTGAAGCAAAACTGCAAGCCCTGAGATGGACAACAAATTAAATGCCTCCAGGAGCTAGCTTCACTGTAGGTCTTTCAATGAACTGACTTAAAGCATGCTGAGGATTTTCTCAGCTGTTTTTGGCTCAGCAGGATGGACACAAAATCAGCAGGTGAACAGCAGAAGGTGGATAGACAGTGTCAGAATGAAGAGTAGAACTAGCTATTGCAAAAAAAAAAAAAAAAAGATGCATTGGGGGTCAGTCTTTCTCATCAGAAATGAGACAGAAATGGAATCGAGGCCTCCAAAACAAGTAGCGAAGTTAGTATACGTACAAACACACTCCCTGCCCTCGCGTGCATGCCAGTGCTTGCAGCCGTCACACTTCCTTCCCGTGGCTCCGGGTCGGCACGTGCAGAATCCCGTGACAGGGTCACAGGGCACAGGCAGCGAGCCATAGGGATCACACTTACATTCTTGACAGGAGCCTCCTGGGCTGCTTGGACTGCCAGTATAGCCAGGGGCACACCTGAATTGAAACAGTGACAAAGCAAAAGCAATTAATAGCAAGTCCAAGTCATGTCTTCACATTGTTGTTGTATGTATGTGTGGTCTTTTGATGAAACAAAACTGATAGCAAGAGTCCACATATCAGTAAACTTTTTCTGTAAAGGGCTGAATAGTAAATAGTAGGCTTTGCCGGACATAGGAAAAAAGTCAAGATTATGCAGTGAAAAATAAATAAAATTTTTAAGCATTCTGCTTTAAATTCCATCCTGTTGATGGAATTCAAAACATAATAATAATGGAGTCAAATTATTTTGTAATATCAGTCAACTAATGAGAAGAATGGGATTCTTTCTGAGGTTTGAAATTATACTTCATTTGTAGTATAATTTAGTGCTTCCTATTATCAAATTGATTATAAATGTTTGCCTGTAACAACAGTTATTAATTGAGTGCCACACAGAGTAAAAAATGGGCCAAATTTGGCCTGTGGACCATAGTTTTTCACTGCTCTAGATCATAAACTTTTCTGTTAAGTCCTCTTGTATAATTAGAGATGAATAAAATTCTATATTGACTTCTGGGCTTTCCTATACTCAGGAATTTCAGAGCTCAAAATAACCAAAGAATAAAACCCATTGATTTTACTAATGAGAAAAAAGAGGCAAGCTAAGTGGCAATAGGCTACTCAGGTTTTCTATTTAATTTTATTCATCTTTTCTTTTTACCGTATCTTCCTCAAGATGGGCTTTTAATGTGTATCTGTGGAAGTGGGTTAATGATATGCAAACAAAATGTATAAAACTGATTTTGAAAATTACGAAGAGAATCCAGCTGGATGAACACTAAACACAATCCATTAATTGACTCTTCCACCAATCTATGCATCCATTCACCTAAGTGTATTTCACTCCGGGTTATGACACTGGGAGTGGTAACTTTACACGATGCTAGCAGGGTCATACATTCTGGTTTGCCCAGGACAATTTCATATTACCTGTTGTTTTGACATAATTGCTGTAAACACTTCCTGTTTTTAATATAGTGTCCCAGATTGGACAACAAGTTATATATATGGTCAGTGTCAATATAACCAACAGTTAGAATTTTTGTTCAACAGGCAAGTATGTGAGGAAGTTGAGAGACAGTAGGGAATTGGAGCCAAAAGCTATAAATACTGGCAAGATAATCATAGACCATCTTTAGCAGCCTGAGACTGTGAAATCTGCATGGCTGACTGTGAAAGTTAATTCACCCTGTGCTGGTTAGAAAAGGCAAAAGACAAAGAAAACTATTTGTGACATTAGGCTTTTATATATTTATGTTTTTGATTATTGTCTTTTCAAAGAAAAATTACAAATATTCAATGAAAGTAGCATTAAAGTCCACTTAAATGGCTTCTTAATATTTATAGGTAAAATAATTGTATTCTAAGCAGATTCAGATTGATTAAATGTTCAAAGAGTTTATTACAAGAGTGTTGAAAATAAAGTATGGGGAGAGGTTTCTGTATTACAGGGAAACTCAGGAAATTTAAGCAGCTTTAGACCTAACCTGATCAGTCTGGGCAGGTCAAAAGATTATTTAAATAATTCAAGAAGCTCTCAGCGCTGGAACAGATTTATTTGGAAGGTTACAATAAAAATCTATCCAAGAACTTGGATAGCTGAATAAAAGCATTTTTTTCAGAGAAATATAACCTGATTATTTTTATGTTAGAGATGATGAGTGCAAAGCTATAACAACATTTGAGGACTGGAAAAACAATTTAAGCCACTCACATTTGATACTGTATGACCCTGCTCATCTATATGCTATATAGACTGTCAGCTTCTATTGATTAAATATTACTGGATATTAAAAAATAAATGTTCTGTAATCATTCTGCTTTAAGATAATAATTTGTTATTTTAGTGTACCCTTCCAGCCTTTTCTGTACACAAGCTTTTGTAGATACTGGTAACTACAATGTATAAATGTAGCTATACTACAAAAATGTTTTTTTCATGAATTACTGTAGATAATCTTTTTGGTGTCCAGTGATGCTGTTAGTCACCATCACCAGTGTTTAAAGGTACAGGAAATGAGCATTAGCCTAACCATAAATACCAAAGCTTACTGGTGAATATTAACAAGTATGTGCTTGTATCACCTATATCTATATCCAAATGATGTACATATCCTTAGAACAAACGAAAATATTTTTAGATTTTATGTGGCTGTGAGCTCTTTAATTGCTGCTAATTTCTGTTGGCATGGAAATTGTGAATCCACCGTTTTATATATGTGCTATTATTGGATATTATGTTTAGAGTTACCACATGCAGATTATCTAGAAATATATTTTACAAATGTATAAAAATTGCATTGGGATTTATAAAATGTAAACGTTACTTATTGCCATTATTAATACAGTTATTGCTGGTTATATAAAATAAGACTCTTAAGTAGGTGCTGATAATTAGTATTAGTTTATATTTCCAAAGAAACTTATCATTTAAGTGTTCCTAGGAGACTCTAGCAAAGGAGTGGGTAAAGCAGGACATGGAAAAGAAGAACTCTAAGCAAAGGTGTGATTTTAGGTGATGTCCCAGTCTCAGCCTGATTCCATGGAGTGCTCTGGAGCATAAAATAAGATCTCAAAACTTGTTCCACTTAGGTGCCAAAGAGCTGGACTTTGTACTCTCACACTGGTTAGTCATGGGCCATTGCAGGAAGGTGGGGTAAGTCTTCAGGTTTTTCTGCCTCTTCTGTTAGAGAGAAGGCTTCAGTGCAGGTGCCTAGGCAGGCACCAACAGTGTCCTTTGCGCACTATTGTCACAATATTAGTGTAGAGTAGGTAGCCTATCAATGATTCCTGAGATTATAGATGAGGAAAATGGAACCTAGCTGAATTGTTGGAGTTGAACGAAGTCCACGGATCTTTATAAAACTTTTATATTGGTATCAGTTATGTTAAAATTATCATGTGTGTATAATGTTAGTAGTTAATTGTAGTAACTCTCTGTTATATTAGAGGTAATACCTAAAATGTACTAAATGTGGTGGTGACAAGTTTGAGCATACAGGATACTGATCTTACAGAAAATATGTATCTAGAAGATATTCATTGCAACCTTTCTAGGCAATCAGTTTGGAACTATATTCCCTAATTTACCATTTGGATTACATTCAGAATTTAACATCTGTATACATGCATTATGAGACTTTGTAAACAATATGGTAGGAGAAAACACTTAAACAATATTGTTTGCTATTGAAAAGGAAAACTGAATAACAAATACTTTATTGTTGGAGTACTAATTAAAAATTCTTAACATTATTTATATTTCGAGTTATGTATACACTTGCTGGTATAGTGCCATAGTACTCAGAGCAGTGATGTGAATGCAGTTACTTACAGACAATATTTTCCAGTGCATTAGAATAAGAAAAGTGTAGCCAGTTTCTTATTAGTAGTAACTACTGCTAAGCTTTTGAAAACTGATGTATTTGTTCTTATAAAATTATATATTTAAGTATAAAATTATATGTATATTAAAGTATAAATTAGATAATTGTGAAATAGCTTAGAATCTTTGAGAAAGTCTAAAACATACGTTGGAAATAAACAACTTTCTTTGGACAAATTCTAAGATACACAAGTAGTTTTGAAAGCATTATAATTTAAACTACCAGAGGATATGCAAAAAATGATGGTCTTCAAATAATGAATGTTTTCCTGTTGTGATCCTTTACCGTATAACCTCTATGTATCGTTACTCTGTATGTTTCAGGACTGTTGGTACCTTTCACAGTACTGGCCTTCATATCCCCGTGGACAAGCTGTGCAGCGGTAGTCATCAAGGCCTTCTGCGACACAAGAGGGGCTGAAACTGAATCAGAAAGAAAAGGATTGCAAAAACTTTTTAATCCATTTATTTTATAAAATCAAGTATTCCTATCCATTATCAAGGTTATTGGGACATGCTTTTAGGTGGCGATGAATAGCATCTTTATAATTACTGCTGAAGTTCTTATTTAAGGGTAGGACATCACAATGAAAAACTATTAGTAATATTAACTGAGTATATATTGTTTGATTTTTGATGGATTAAAAATGCATCATACAAAGCATGTGAATATTCTGGAATTTAATAATGAGGTGACAGCCATGAATATGCTAAACATCCAGCAAAACTGTCCTATTGTTCACTAATCAAAAGAAAAACCCGACTAGAATTCATGCATATTTGTCTGATGGTGCAGTAGCTATTACTTAATATCTTTTAGGTTAAAAAAAACGGGGCATAAAATCTATATAATTTCTTTTTCCTGAAAACTCAGCCCAAATGGCTACTGGTGCTTTAAGACGTGCATAAATGTTTCACTTGGGATAAAAGAGTATCTTTTCTAATTTACATCCAGATTTCAAACTACATTTTACTTTGAACACAAAGCAATGTGATTTAGTGTGAGGAGAGAAGAAGGGAAAGCTTTTTCTATGAAAATGACTATTTTATGGTCTTTTCTAATGATTAGATCTTATATAACTTCCCCGACGTTTCTAATAGAATGCTGGTAGACCACAGTCTGTCTTGTTCCAGGATTTCTAAAGATCTTATTCAATAAAAGAAGGACTTCACAAGTCTTGAAAACTAAACTATATTAACATGTAGGTTTGGGTTGTTACAGCTTCTCTCGGCTTTATTCCCATTAGGTAAAACTGAGTGATGCATTGGAAACTTGGGAAGAAAAAACATCATCTGGCAGAACGATAATGCTGCAAACACCATTCTTCTTTTTGCTGCTTCACTAAATCAGTTGATGCTGAACAAGCAATAAGGGGTATAGGCCAGGCCCACAGATCCTTTGGTCAGGTGCTATTAGGACCTAATGTTAACTGTCTTGTAATACATTAAATCAATAGTACATGAATGAGTAATAAACTCCAATTTTTGCAAAATATGTGAACAAATTGATCTACTCACAAACTCATTATCCAACAAATTTATTTTTGCCTTCACAAAAAATAAACTTATAATTGACACACTCTGCCAAATTTTTAGCTTATTAATTTAAAGCCTAATACTGAGTGCATCTGTGCACTCACACACTCATGAACATGCACATGCATGCACACACACACTCATACATATATGGGCTCTAAAAACCAGATTTTAGACATTTCCAGTGCAGCTCTAAAGAGCCAGTATGATCAAATTACATTTCGTTATAGTAAAATAACAAAATGTCAATAAACAAATAAAATGTTTAGAGTATTGTACAGGAATGTAGTAATTCTTGAATAGTTGAAATAATTTTTTTTTCAAATTATGGTATTATAGTGGATTGCACTGTTTCCTTATATCACATAAAGGTATTCTGGAGGGAGTAGGGATTCCATCTCCTTTGAAGCTTGAGTTTATTCTTTCTGTTCACAATTCCCTTATCTGCTCTCAATTCTCATTTTGTGTGCAGCGCTGCTCAGAAATCCTTGTGCTTTTCTCATGGGGACCATCTTTTACATTTCCCTATGGCTGCTAATTCCAACTCCCCTCAACAGAATTTTTAAATTTACAGAGTTTGCTCTCTGTGTTGTCTCCGATGGATACTGCAGAGATAAATGAGCTTCCTGGAAGCCACTTCCTTCTGGTTGTGACCACAGTTTACTGGTCGTTCCTTTTCAGTTTCCTTTGCTGGATCTGTGGCATGTTCTTGATTTCCTAACATGCTTCACAATTCAGTTTTCTGATTTCTGCTCCCTTCTCCTCTCTCCTCCAAATGATCTCACTTAGTCCTAAGGGCTTTAAATACTGTACCTACCCTCACAGATCTAAAACTAAGTTTCTCCCCCTTCAAAAATACACCAGACCTTTCCCTAATTTTCCCATCCCAGTCAATGGTCACTCTATGTTTCCATTTGCTCTCCTGAAAACCATGGTGTCAACCACATCTTCTCTCTCACATTCCACCTATCTTCTACCTGCAAATGCTGCTGGTACTCCTATCAATAACACCACTGGATTATCCTGTACCAAGTCACCTCTTGCCACTGGAAGATTTTTAGCCTTCAGGACATTTAGATATCCATTAGAGCTTTGCTGACTTCACTTCCCATCACCCTCTTCTCATTCACTCTGTTCCAGCCACCCTGGTCTCTTGCTGTCTGCCAAGCATGGGCCAAGTATGGGCCTGTCTCTGGGCCAGTGCATCACCTTTTCTCTCTGAGGGGTCTGCTCTTGTTGCAGGTATTCACATGGCTCCCACCATGCACATTTCTGCACAAGTCTCATCTGTTTGTGAAGATCATTGACCAGCTTATCTAAAATCATACCTTCGTCATTAAGGCTTCTTTATTTCTCCTGGTAGTACTTGTCATTATCTGATATTATATTATATATCTATTTCTTTATCTTAGTCTCTTATAAAAAAATATGAGCTCCAGAAGCTAGGAAACATTGACTGTTTTGTTCACTTATGTATTCCCAGTAGGAAGAGCCATGTCTAGCATTCAGTTGGGCTCTCATTAACTTTTTCCTGAATAAAGAAATAAATAAAATATTATGGTGACCTGCAAGAAATTTATAATTTGGTGTGAGAGACAGATATGTACACATATAGGACAGGACACAACTTTTATAGGACAGGACACATCTTTTATCTTTTATTCATAGTGTTGGGATGAAGTATATGCTTAGTAAATGTTCATCTTCTGAAAGAATGATTGAAATAATGATGTGAGGTAAAACGTGTTGTATATCAAATGTACAAAATGCATGCTATGCTATGGATAGGTTTTGTGGCAGAAGTGGGGTCTGAAAAATGCCTTTAAAAGTAAGTTAGATTTCACAGGCATTGTCTCAGTGAATAGCAAGAGCAAACTGCTAATGATGTTTAGATACATGCAAGAAACGCCAAGCTTGGTATCGTGTAGAATGGAGTTGAGGGCGTTCAGCCTGGAAAGGTAGTCAGATTGCATAGGTTTCTAATTCTCAGCCAAAGAGTCTGATCTTTCCTTGGGAAGGCAGTGGAAACTTCTAAGGTATGTGAGCACTGGCACCGTGACATAAGAGTTAAATGTCTACCATATTTGTTTTGGTACGATCTAACGAGGACTTGAACTAATGCCATGGAAATGAATCAGTAATCACTCAACACGCCTCCATATTTTTCACTGACTGCACAGTTTGAAGTCACAAATTGGAGATGTCTCGGCCTCCTCCATTTATTCCTTAGAATCTGTTTTTATTTTGGGGAAAAGTGCCTCTTTTCTTTGCCCTGGCTGGTTTCTTTACTTCACATTTTAATTCTTCTTTTCTCACCATATATAGATCCTCACTTTGTTAATTAGCCTAATATGTCCCAAGCCTTAGGTTGTGATATTAGTGACTCATGAAATCCAGTCAGTAGGTTTTGACTAAAATTTTTTTCTAAAAATGTAAAATAATAAAATTAAATAAATGGTATGGTCTATAATGCTTATATTTAGACATCTACACACACAAGTTTTTGTGTATTTCTGACTTATGATGTAAAAAACTGTTTCTTACAGTGGGTGCAATCAGTAAAGTTTGAAAGTCACCGAACTTGCCATTTTAATTTGATATTTTGATTCTTTCAGGGTCTTTTGCATAAAAATTTACTCAAATTATACAAATTATATAAAACAATGAAACAAAAATGAAAACATACTCTGATATTGATTCTGCAAACTAATCATGGTAGTATGCCATCATTTCATTCTTGAAATTTCTTAAAAATGTAAATGCAAATTCTGCTTTTCCTATTGATGCTCAAAATTCATCCATGACTCTTAGAGTATAGCCACAGGAGTAACCAAACTGGGCTACCCTGTTGATAACAACATGTCAAGTTAACTTTTAGGTGTAATAGAGCCAAAAACTGCAAGTCATGTAGCCCAAGCATGTTCAACAGAAAAGCTTTGACCTCTAACAACACCAGGAACCGACTATTCCTCCCCTTGAAACAACAAGACTGGGACAAAACCAGAACCTGAACACCAGAACTCTTCAAAAATGAGGGGTCCATTGGCCCAGAAGATCCAGGGCTAAAATCTGCCTTAATGTACCTTACCGTACGTAAGTGATCACATTTGAAGCCCTCCAATAAAACTTTGCCAAGCCAGCATTTCTCAGTCCTTTCCCTTGCCTTCTGATCCCTTGAAACTTGTCCCGTATCCCAAATTAGAAAGACAGATTCGAACTTAACTCCTGTCTCCTTGCTAACCAATTTTACAATAAAGCCTTTCTTTTCTCAAATACCAGTGCCAAAGTTACTGGCTTCTCTGTGTTTCAGGCAGCAAGCCCATTCATTTGCTCAATCACAATAGTCAATTGCCACTATATTCATTGGGTCTCCCTTGTGAGAGCAGCAATTGATGCGATTCATTGCTCCTCTCTCCCTTGGTGTCAATCAATGGCAGTGCCACCTGGGTTCCCTTTCTTCTGACTGCTCCTGCCTTGGCTCTACTTTTTCTTCCTTCCCAACATAAAGTCCCATCTTTCCTTCTTTCTATATGCTTGCCTTGGATAACATTAGCCTGGAAATCTTATCCAACTTTAATTCACTTATTAACATATCTCTTCCTTCATCTGCTCCTGCAATTTTCAGATTTCCATTTCCTGCAGCTATTTGCATATTTCCATTCAGACAGATACATTCTATCAATTTGAACCTATTTGAAAAATAAATTATCTTTCTCCTGTAAGAGTTCTCTCCTGGCTTCTCTATTTCAGTTAATGGCACCACCATTTTGGGGGGCAACCTGCCTAAAAACCTCAGTCTTCAACTCCTGCCCGGACCCTCACCCCTCACATCTAATTAGTTTTAAAATTTGTAGAGTTGCATTAAACAGTTTTCTCACATTCATCCTCTTGTCTCCATTCTTGTTATTATTACCTACTTCAGGTTCTAATTATCTTTTGCCCAGGCTAGTATACCAGCCTTTTAATTCATCTCTACGCTTTACTCATTTGCCTGTTTCAATTCATTATACTCAATTCTGTTATACCAGTTTTCCTAAAGTGTGGCCATAATCATATTAACATTTTTTTTAAAAAATAAAAGCTTGTAGTGTTTCCTTATTACACAGAAAATTAAATAACTATTTCGTAGGCTAGGATTTAAGGATTTCTACAAAATGACCTTCCTTCTCCCATGCATTTTTATCTGTGATTATGAAATTGTGTCTGAACTCCACACTCCAAATTCTGTTAATTACTAGGTTTTGTACATGCCTTGTATTTTCTAAGCATTTGCCCATGTAATTTCCTACTATTCCCACCAGTGCAAATCCTTAAATTCATTGTTTAAGATCTATTATACATACTACTATTTCTCTTAATATGTTCTTGAAGCTTCCAATATTAAGTGTGGTATTTTATGCCTTTGAATTCTCTTTATGTTTAAGTGGATACCCTTAACACACAGGTTTTATAGTGACCTCCTCCAAGAAATGGCATACTTCTCTTGTTCTCCTGTAGCTTTGATTATAGTGTACCCAAACAGGGAATTATCAATTAATTATTTAATTTTCTAATACAAATGGATTACATTTTTAAAACAATTAAAGAAATGGTATTATCTTGTTTAAATCTGGGCATCAAGGAGAAATTAGGGAAGGAGAGATGAAAATAATATTTTTCATACACCTACTACTTGGTCCCTGGATGCACAGTAAGACCATGTATATTATCCTCTTCAATATCCAGCTTGCCTAAAAATTTACATTTGACACCCTATAAAAGTCTTGTGATTCTAGCCAACAAAAAAGAGGAGCTTTCAGAGGAAAAGGAGATGATTTACAGGAAATGTTTTCAGAATGTAAACAAAGCCAAAGATGAAGAAGAAAGTGAGTAGGCCCAGGTGCAAAGATCACGTGGTCTGAATTGTTCTGTGGCTCTTTAACACTCAAGATAAAGTGTCTAGAATTCTAATTCTGAACAAACTGCCATACATTATTTTCAAAAGCAAATTCTTAGAGTAAAACTACCCTACCTTACTGAAGTCTATAAATCACTTAACAGGAAGTGCAGGTAGTCTGGGCAAAAAGGTAAATGAAAACATCTAGGGTTGTCAGCATACATAATCCACTGCACAATGTTCAGACAGCACTGAAATAAAGTATTCCAGCATTTGTTTCTTCTTATGGCTGTGTTTCCATGGTACCAAGCTCAGACCATCTTAAGAAAAAGGAGGCTGTGATTCCGGAAGATGATTTTTTGGAGCATAATAATAAGTTACCTGCTTTAACTGTACAATTTTCCAATTGTTTTCTTGATAATTTTTCCTAGTCTTGAATTAAACACATAAAACCAATGGAAACAGCCAAAAAACTTATCTATATTTTTGTGGCTGTTTGGATGTAATATGCATCCAAACAATCCTTCATAGCTGATATTATGGGCAAAACCATATACAAACATTAGACCAGTATATTTATGAAACCATGCATATTTGTACAATATCATTTGTTTTATAAACATATCTTACATTGATATTGGTACTTACATTTTAAGTAATAAGTATTTTTTACTTGGGACAGAGTTTCAAAGGAAAAATGAGCCACAGAGTATTATCTACTCACTTTTGTCATGTTTTTATATTATTAAAAATATCCCTATCTTAAATTGAGATTTTTGTCTACATGGAAAAAATAGCCAAATTATAGACAGCCCATGTGCTAGACAGATGGCATTTCTGATTGGGAAATATGGTTATATTTCTCAATCTTACTTGTTACTGGAAGAAATCAGAGGGCAGGCACATTGCTGACAGTCGTTTGGCAATCCCTTGACAATTCCATAGTATCCAAGAGCACATCGTTCACAGAAGTCACCGGCAGTGTGATGTTGACAATTCTGTAAAGGAAAAGGAAGGAGTTTGTTTTTAATTTAGTGAGAGTTAGGATGTGTTTTATCATACAGTCCCTATCTATGAAGGTGTATCTATGAACACATATACTTTCTTACACACACACACACACACACACAAACTTTATCAATGACAGAGAACTCAGTCTTTGATACAAATATTTTTAAAGAAGCTCTTTTATTTGAGAAACTAATACTGTGCTATTGCAGCTACACTGACAATAAGAGTTGCTATTCCCTTTTCCCTGCATCGATCCCTACGTAAGTTTTTTCTTCTACTCTAAATTGGAGAATAGACTTCAAAAGTCTCTAAAATTTATTACTTCTTCTGGGCATTTATGTTTCTTCCTTTGTATCCCAGGCTTTAGCTCTACGAGATGTTAGAAAATGGTGCTGCAAATAGCGTGGCCTTGGCACATGCCCACCAGTGGGCCTTTTGAAGCCACCTCAAGGTGGAAAGCATAAATCTTTTAAGTAGTAATGGGAGCAAAAAAGATCTGCCGTGTTATCACATTAACGCTGTTACTCTCTGGGCGTGGTGGCTCACACCTGTAATAAGAGCACTCTGGGAGGCAGAGGTGGGCAAATCACTTGAGGTCAGGAGTCTGAGACCAGTCTGGTCAACATGGTGAAACTCCGTCTCTACTAAAAACACACAAATTGGGTGGGTATGGTGGTGGGTGCCTGTAATCCCAGCTACTAGGGAGGCTGAGGCAGGAGAATCACTCGAACCCAGGAGGCAGAGGTTGCAGTGAGCCGAGATTGTGCCATTGCCCAAGCCTGGGCGACAAGAACAACACTCCACCTCAAACACAAAAAATGAAAAAGACTGTTAGTCATCTGTTTCTTGTCAGAGGTAGGTGGTTCTTCATAAATACAGAGGAGTCGGTCTAAAACTAGTAATCTCAGATCAATATCTTATTTTTTATGCTTACATAATAAGAGACATTGGGGTGATATCGTTTAAGACCTTTCCACAAGGAAATGAGAGTAGCTTCAGAAAAGTGTGTAAACAGCTTCAAAATTAAAATTCCCATGAAGCAGAATTATATTTAACACAATAATCAATTATGCAATAAGAACTTAGGAAGAGCTACGTGCAATGCACTGAAACGGGCAATGAAAGAACATCCTATCTTCTAGAAATTGACTTAAACTGCAGGAAAATAATAATGAAAAAAAAACACTTGACAAATAAGTAACATGGCAGCAAGAATGCAACATTGAATGCTGTTTCATGGGAATGTGATCCTTGCATGTAGGAGTTGAAAAAAAAGGAAGAAGGGAATTTGGAATTGTATTTTAGCTGGATTTTTTAAGACAGGTTTTGGACTGGTCAGAATAGTGACTTACAACTTATAAACAATATCAAAATAAAAATTGAGAAACAAAAAAGTCAGTAACAAAATGGATGGACACGTTAGTGAAATGACTTCCTGATCATCTCAGCTGGAGCCATAAAGCTGCCTTCAGGCTCTGTATTGAACTTGGATGACATCCCATAGACTGGACTCTGCCTAATTTAATCAATCAAGAAGAATGTATTGATGTTTCATGTGTCTTCTGATGGCCAAACAATTGTTAGTATGGAATGGGTGGTAAATCCCAACAAACAGCCCATGTCATTTGCACCACAGATATTGTCATGGAATTAATTTTTGTTTGGAACTCTTTTTGAGAGTTTATGCTATTTCCTGCAGTGAAACTGACTGACACAGTGAGTTTTAGATCATTTATTTTTTTACATTTTTTGGTGTTATATTGGAAAGTATATTGTGACACAGATTTTATAACAATGTAAAAGGAATCCGGTTTTCCAATATGACAAGGTACACATCTCTGTTTTTGGCACAGAGCTCTCACCCAGGCTGAAGTGCAGTGGTGCGATCTTGGCTCACTGCAACCTTTGCCTCCTCAGTTCAAGTGATTCTCCTGCTCAGCTTCCCAAGTAGCTGGGACTACAGATGTATGCCACCATGCCTGGCTAATTTTTGCATTTTTAGTAGAGATGGAGTTTCACCATGTGGCCAGGTCTGGTCTCAAACTCCTGACCTCAGGTGATCCACCTACCTCAGTTTCCCAAAGTGTCGAGATTATAGGCATGAGCCACCGTGCCCAGCCAATATCAAATCTACTTCTACACCTCACCCTCAGTCAATGATAGCCCCCTATTTTAAGAGATCAGAAAGCTCTAATTTGGATGCTCCCTTGGTTTCCTGGCAAACGATTCAGTGTCTTGTCACATATTTTCCATCCCTTTGACATTTGTCTCTGTCTCTTGTCTGAAGCTACTACATTCCTAAACTGGTTTCCTTGCCTACCTCCTCATTTTCTCCAGCATCTTCATTCCCTCCTTTGTGGGCTCATTCCCTTAATATCTGAAATTGGTCAGGCCTTTCCTGTCTTAACAAAAAAATCTGTGAGGTCTCAAATTGCTTGACAATTTCTATCCTATTTTTGATAAGCTTTTAAAAAGAAATTGTTTACCTTCCTGGTCTGTACCTCTTCATCTCCCATTCACCCTTTAAACAGGCTTCTGGTTTCACCATTAAACATAATACCAGATGACCCATAAGATCTTTGTTGCTAAAGCAAAATTTACAATAATCAGGCCTCTTGACATGTAAGGTTTCTCTAGCCACTGATGTTTCTGGATACTCTTTCATGAAATTTTCTCTTCCTGTGGTTTCTTTAAGAGTAACCTGGTTGATTTTTCTCCAACTTCTATGGCTACTCTAATTCTCCTCTATGGACGCTCCCTTCCCTTTCTGTTTAATAAGATTGATGCCCTGAATTCTAACTTTGGCCCTCATCTCTTTTTTTTCTCCTCCACATTTACCTTGGTGATTTCATTCATTGCTATGACTTCATTTAACAGTATGCCCAAAACTCTGTATTTTATGTATTCAACCTGCATATTTCTAATGGGTTCCAGACTTCCACTTCTAATTGCTTCTTGAATAAATATTGTATAACACAGAAGCACCTTAAATTTGAAGCGACAACAATTAAGTTCATCTCTCACTAAACCTGCTTCTCATTTCATCTGAGGTCACTGTTATCCACTCAATTGCCCAGGTCAGCAACCTAGAGGCCTCTCTTATCCCAGATATCCTTTAGATCATCAGTTCCATGAGTTTATTACTCTCTGTTTCTTGACTTTCTTGTTGCTACTATTTGCATCTGGTCACTGTCATATTTTAGCTGAATTATGAGAATAGCCTCTTAACTAAAGATTCTGTCTCCATATTTTCTTATCTGGTGATTTTTCCACACTGCAATCACAGTGATGATCCTATGAACATATCAAACCATGGCCTTCTCTTGCTTGAAAGGCTACACTAGTTCTCAAATGCAGTCGGGATGCCTAAGTCCTTAGCATGGCAAGGAAGAGCTGCATAATGTGCCCTCCCCGACCCTCACCACCACTGCGCTTACCCCTCCAGCTGTACCTGTAGCCCCTGCTTTTTTGGCATATAATGCCATAGCCATGTGGGACCATCTGAAATTCTCAAATTATGCGGATACTCTTTATCACTGTTGGGACTTCTTATTTGCAAATCCTTAACTCTAGAGTGTTTATCGGGCTAGCACCTATTCATTTCAGCTATTATTTTAAATGTCACTTTCTCTGAGAAACATTCCTGATGCCTTAAAACTGGCTTAAATGCTCCTTTTAGTGCATCAAACATGGGAGGCATTCAATGACTATTTTTGAATGGCTGAATGAATAAATGCATGTTCCAGGAAGTATAGATGAAACCGGTCAGGCTTTTGGCCAAATTTCATGTGTAATTGCAGAAAAATGGTCAGCAGGGCAAAACGATTTGTTGTATTTTGCCATTGACTTAAGTACCATAATCCTCTTTTATTCAACCATCCAAAGGAACCACCATTTTTTAGCAATAAAATACCATTCCATATTTAACAGTAGCATTATGAGAGATAATGGTTCCAAGATAAAACAATTATCTACGAATTGTAACTTCAAATCATTCAGCAAGGTGTCATGCTGATGAATAAGTGTCAACTGGGGAGTATTTTAAGAACATATTTTATAGTTATAGAGATGAATGTGCCAAAAATACATGGGATCTTCAACAATGACTTTCAGCATTTTGCTTCTGCAGTAAAATCATTGCATAATGAATTATTTTATGTAACCTAAATAATTAATAACTGAATTAAAATCCTTAAAGCCAATGATCATTACTAAAAAGAGTTCAAAAGTATGATTTTGTTTCTCTTATACCTATAAGTCTAAATTTCTTCAACAGAGAAAGTAAACATCTTAATCTTCTCTGGACAGTCAATCTTGTCAGTCTTTCACTGGGTTGCTGACATACTAAACTTGTTTAATTAAATCAAACGTCCTGGTTAGATCCACAAACACACAACACATAAATCAGGAGACTCTTTTTGAAACTTTTTGATATATACTTTTCATATGACTTTCCTGTCTGCTTTGAAATAGTATACATAATGTTTCTTCTTATGCAGAAATTAGCCTTTAGAGAAAATTTCTATATTTTGGATACCTAATGAGAAGTTTAATTATATTCTCGAGTGGTATGTGCTAGTGTCTCTTCAATAATGCGTTAGAATATATTAGATTTGCTAAGTTTGTTTTTCACACTGGAAACTGTTGGCATACATTCCTTTTACAAAATCAAATGAGTACAACATTAATATTATAGTATCTCAGGCCTAAGATGAGAAATTACTTAACCTATCTTTCTTGCCATACAGGAATCCTTCTATACTTTCCTTGAGATATCATTAAATGCATGAATTCTTATAAGACAGCTTTTTCCATCCTGTGAAGCTTTTCCTTACAGTGGCTAAAAAATTTTGCATTCCAATTTTCAGTCAGTGATCCAAGTTTTGCCTTCGGAAGCTATGAAAATTAAGTCTAATTATCTTTTCCTAGGGAAGGTCCTCAAATACCTAAGAATACTATTACTTCCTAAATCTTTGTTTCAAGCTAA